TTCTGCTCCCGTTTTGTTCACACCGCCCAGGGCCCGACTGGTGCTGCCGCTGCTGCGTCATGACGTCACCGTTTACGTCGCTGATTTGCTCCCAAACAGCGTTATGGCGCTCACTGCAACAACAACAACGGGGGACTGCGTCGGGTCGATGATCGTGTTGCTTTTAATCATACGAAGCCAGATTAAATTAAATAACGACTTCTCCAACCTTATACTTTTCTCCAGAGTGCCGTGGTTCATTGTTTATTAATGTGTTTCAGCTGCATTTACCGACCGCTGCAGTGCTGGCTGCTCGTCCACTGGAGTTTATTCTGCTGTTAGCTCCAGGTTAGCTCACACGGCAGCGGACGCTGTAAAGTATTCACTGTCTGACTGTCACACAAGCAGCTGATACATATCCCCAGTTCCCCTTAAGTGAATGTGTTTCAGTCTGAATTGACGCTGTTTGGCATCACAACGCTGTTATGAAAGTCTCTCTGGTATACAATGGGTGAAGTTAGCATAGCAACCGAAGCTAATCTGACTAACTTGACTACTTGTTGCTATCCTATTGTGGCATAAGCCGTTTTCTACAGGCACATTTGACCTTTTCATTATTCTACTTGTGATAGTCCGACAGCACAACCTGTGCAGCCCATGTATTGATTCCATCCGATAGCTACTATAATACAAAACAAAACGTCTGCCTGCTCTCCACAATGATCAATAACAGCGAACGGATGGTTAAAGTAAGGTACAAATAAACAGAATCACACGAAGCCTGGTTAGTGTTGCCTGACTTTAGAACGTGTGTTTTTTTTTTATAAGTGTGTGGTTTTTTATAAAGTGTGTGTTTTTTATAAGTGTGTGGTTGCCTTCTAGTCGCTTTGCTCAGCACTACTTCTTGTAGGCAGGCATGACGAGACTCTTCAGTCGACCCATGTTCAGGGGAGGTGGGTTTAGTTTCCTAAACGCCTCGACGTAGAGAGACGTAAGCAACGCCACCTCTTAGCTCCGGAGTCTTGCTTATAGGCCGACAATTTTTTGGAGCTGGAAACGAACCGGATTCCGGGGCCGCCGCTGCGGTGTGAAGAGGAAAAACCGGTACTTTTCAGGCTCTAGCTCCGAGCCGGCCCTGAAAACGCATTGGTGTGAAAGGGGCAATAGTGACTAGATGTTTGGGTTACAAAAAACTTCGAAACAAGCAGATGAACTATCGTCATAACAAAAAGCGTATTGTATTTTCTAATTCAAAAAGGGAAATTATGCAAAATATACATATTTTAAAGTAATGAGCTCTATGTTATACATTTTGACATCATATTCAATAAACAGAGTAAATAATTACACGTATAACACTTGTATGGTTTATTTACAAGATTATTTGAAACAAAACCCCAGAAAGTAATATAGTTGTTGACTATTCAATTTATCTAGTTAAACAAATCAGTTTTCGTAATTTTGTTAAAAATGTTTGTATAGAGTGTTATTCTTTTTTTTACTGTTGTCCCCTAACAAAAGCAAACATTAGAAATAAAGATATTTACTTCTTTTTTTATAATTGTTGCAATGCATTGACCTTTGACCTGTCACAGCAGGATGCAAGGACGATGGAACCAAGGTAACTTGTCATTACCCGGTCCGGTTCTGCACATCTGCAAATACGCCGCTACTTCCCATGATGCTTACTGAAAATATGTGGAAGCAATTTACGGCACTTTTCTTGGATTTAAATAAAATAATGTTATCTTTGTTTTGATTAATTATATAATAAAACACTTAAATTGGCCAAAGAAAGAAAGAAAAATGAATCTTTCAAAACAATATATAACATTTATTTGTTTATTGCAATTGTATTATCTTTTCAATTTACACACGGCATCTATTGCACGTCTGTCCGTCCTGGGAGAGGGATCCCTCCTCTGTTGCTCTCCCTGAGGTTTCTCCCATTTTTCCCTTTAAACTGTGGGTTTTCTCTGGAAGTTTTTCCTTGTACGATGTGAGGGTCTAAGGACAGAGGGTGTCGTATTGTCATACTGATATTCTGTACAAACTGTGAAGTCCACTGAGACAAATGTAACATTTGTGATATTGGGCTATATAAATGTTCTTCTTTTTCCTATGTGGTTCTCCGGGCCGTCCCCCGCCCCGCCCCAGAATTTTGGTTCTTTTGCTTTAGAGTAACCGACCCACAGTTAAAGTCTGTTGCACCTTAAGCAGAAGTCTACGCCGCAGTGCACACACGAATTTTTTGTGGAAGGACCATCGAAAGGGCGGATCTTTACATTTAGAGTTTACCTTTTTCTTTGCCGCTTTTTTTTTTTCAAAATTGTCTTCTTCTACTGTTGTTAAATAGGAACGTGCTTCGGTCTAATTATGTTTATTTGGTTTACTGGGGCTTGTACTTTAATTGGTAAGTGCCTCACGCAGGCTCCGCGTTCGACAGGGTAGGTTTCTTGTCCTTCCCAAATCGATCGCGGAGTGACGTTTTTGAAATTTCCAGCAAAAGAGTTTTACTCCAAAAAAGGAGTAGGATGAGAACTCAAGTTTTAAAGTTGAAGTCATCGGTTGCCATCTTGGTGGGTTTTGGAAGGGGTCAATATAAGGGATAGTTAAATACTTCCGAAAAATTGTTCTTCCCAAACAAGTTATATAGTTAAGTTAAGTTATCGGGACTTTAATATGTTGTACATTATGGATTTTTGTACCGTTTTTAACTATAAATCCCGCAACTGTCATTAAAAGGACTAAATACCTTCACTATTTTTCTCTATAGGTTTTAGGGAAGGCATTTTCGAATCTATGATTATTACTGATGTTTTCTATTTTGTTCTTAAGAACCTTGGGACCGAAATAGGTTTCAAAGTCTAAGCTAGGACTTTACACATTTTATACGGTGTATAAACTACTCTATTACCGATTAAACGTTATAAATTTGTTACGATAAAGTCTTTTGACATTATGTTTTCCTGGTTAACGGAATTACATTCATTAATTGACCTCTCTGTTAAAGATCGACTATGAAATTCCAATTTTTTTCAATGGGATAAGTGGACCCCCACAGGGGAGCGGAATTCTATTTCAACTTTGTTATTGTAAATTTCACCTAGGTGAACCTAAATCAGTTCACAATAATTTAAGTGTTAATTTGTATAAATAGTTAAAATAATGATCTTAAACAATAGTTCTTATTTTAATCGAGACATTGGAAAGTAGTAGTTAGTNTTCGCCATTTCGACAGTTCCTCAAATTACTGACTAAATTTGAACGCATCCCTGTGACCAGCTCTCATAGTATGCCTCTCGTCCAATGAAATGACTTGGTGACCAAGTCATTTCATTGGACGAGAGGCATACTATGAGAGCTGGTCACAGGGATGCGTTCAAATTTAGTCAGTAATTTGAGGAACTGTCGAAATGGCGAACGCAGATAAATTGAGCTTGAAAATCCTCCGGCATCATTGAAGTCTCCGGTTTGAGAACATTTTGGTTTCGCAGTTACGTACAAAAACAGGTGGACCGAAACAAAGCTGTTTGTCGGCATTTTTCAACTAAAATTGATTACGCGGCTGGCAATACATCAAACTTGCACACTCATTTGAAAAGGCATCACCCGAACGTGAATATCACCG